GCCTACTGGGAACATACCAAGACGCTGCATTACATTCAGGAATGTTGCCTTGTGGAAAACACTTGTTGCTTGCTCACCCAGCAGCAGAATGGGAGAGAGGAAGGACAGCACTCAGCACGCGAGATTTGTGAAAACATAACAGTGGAAACCCCATGTATTACACTTATACTAGAGAAGCTCGTTGCACGCCTTTCTCAAGCCTGCCAATGGCACAGCTCTATGTAGTGGATGCCCTACTGCCATTGACAATGAGTGGTGAGTTACACCCTCCTGTGCTTTTGAAAATTGCCTTTCTGAGGAAAGAATTTAAGCTGAAGGATTTACAGATAAATAAAAAGAAATTTCATTGTTTTATCTTTCTTGCAATAGGAAAATGAAAGCTGTGATTGACAAACAGAAACACCGCCCCTAGCAAAGGAGCAGGTAATGTGCTTTCTCATTTTTCAAAACTGAGTCACTTTCTCTGTGTTTAAGCAAACATCACAAATTAAGTTTAAGCTGCTCTTTAAGTCTTTTGGTACAGATGGTTACCTTTCTTTCATTATAACCATCTCCACTTAAGAGTACAAAGGAAATAAAAAAAAATCCTATCCAGCGCTCGCCCACATTCACAAGTCACATACAGATCAGATTAAGCGTGTTTCCTGTTCATGGGAAAATGAAAATGGAGGAGAATGTTGCATGCAGGGAGTACAACACATAGATGCACTAGCACACACAAATTGCCTTCTTGCATTTTGCCTCCATGGAGCTTTGGCTTCCATCAGTAACACAAGTTTTCAATAAACCGTTTCAACTCAGGCAGCTTTGTCAGTCACAGGGACATAAATTGAAAATTTCGTGTGATTTCATCAGTTCAATGCCAAAATAAAAACTTCCCATCAAAAAAGCATTTGTAACAAGATACTATCCGCTATTACTTCTCCTACAAGATCAACACCGACATTCCCAAGTGTCCAATACCATCTGTGAGTTGTGAAACTTATGTCTAGGAAGCACAGCTCCTGTTCACTGTCCTGGGTATTGGTAGACAGACCTGCAAGTGGTAGGCGAGAGTTGGAGGTACAACCCTCTCGCTTCACCGCTGGCTCTGCCGCATCCACATGGAAGGAAGAATACAGGCCTGGACTTCTAGAAGAACGTGCATGAGAAAATACCAGGGTGTATGGTGAATTCAAATTCCAGCTGAAAGAACAGCCTTCTCAGCAAATTTAATCTTAGCCACTGCCTTAGCTGCACTCATAAGCAGTTTTCTCAAATTTACTTGCTGTATAAAATCATTTACTGAAGTGTTTTGGAGAATCATTTCAGGCTTTCACTGAGTTCCAGTGCAGTTTGCTCTACATTTTAGCTCTGCACCTTGTTGAACTGTTTTGTTCAAATATGAAAATCATGTTTACTTTCCTATTCCCTGACTACACAAAAGAAATGTAAATTCAAAGCTGCTTCTTGACTATTCAGGTTAGCAAGAACAAAACCTGCTCTTTGTGTCTACTCAGTTCAAATCGGGGCTTGTGTGATCATTCCTGATGAGAAAGCAAACACAGAAGTTCAAACAATAAAAATGCTCTTAAAAATGTGAAGGAATATTCCAGCACAACATGGCTATGAACAACATTACTTCATCTATATAGTAAGATAAACAAAGGAGAACCTTAAGTATTTAGGAGTTTGCCATCTCATTCCCCTCCTTCAGCTGAAATTCAATTTGCCCGTAAGTGAAAAAACTCCCACATGTTAAACCAATCCTGAGCTGCCAATAACTGCATCAGTAATCACACTTCATGTGTGCTTCTGCTGTAGAAACTATGAGAATTATACTGCAAAAACACTGCCACATGTATCACGCTCAGGTCTTCTGACATTAAAAGTGTAACCAAGAATACCACCACCATATATAACATAAATGCAGTGCAGACGCTTCATTCTTTCCACACCACTCTTCTAATGGGTTTGTTAGAACTACTTTTTCTATCTAATTTTAATTTAGACAATCTTTCTTCCAGGGCTTGTCTTTAACAAAGAGCAAAATTGTCCATAATTGTAAGAAAAAGCATGAAAGCTCCGTAGGCACGAATCCATAATTTATTTCTTCACCTTAATTCCACGCAAAGGCCCTCAGAATCAATTTCTTGGGGTTGAAGAACAAATGTGCTGCCCTTATTAAGAGGACTCATGAAGGATACTGCCTTGTTAATTTCGGCAGTCTTCCATAAACCATTCTTTGCTAGGAGCCGATTTGTTTCCCACGGGTAAAACACTGGATGCACTGACACCCAATGGCAATTCCCTTACTTTTGTTTGGCCAATATTTAATTTCGCAAGGGTGTACAGTCTCAGCCATCACAAAATCCCACCCCTAGGTAACCGTGTAGTCATAAGAACTGTAGTTGGGCATACAGCTGTAATGGCTCAAAGCTCAGATTTACAGAGAACGCTACAGAAAAAAGTCGCAGGGTTTTCTTCCAGAGAAGGACTGCGGGGGGGAGGGGGATTTGTATCTGTACAATTTGAAGATTGATCCTGCAGATGCTGGAGGGTGGGCGATTTACTTGAGTGATTTGCCCCAGGGCAACCTGCGGGAGACAAAGAGTCCCAGGTCCCCCCAGGCAATCAGGGGGCTTTTTTTCATTGTATTTAGGCAGCATCAGAGAGACACCACATTTCAGGCACTGATGCCTGGTAACTTGACCGAGCGCTTCTTCTCAGCCATGTGGTCCTCATCCATCCCTCCCTCCCCTCCCTCCTGCTCCAGCCGAACAAATGCCAGACATTAAACTCCCTTCGTCGCCGTTTAGTTTGCTGCTGACCCACGCGGCTGATGCCTTAAGGGTTAAAGTTAACAACGATGTAAGCGGCCTACGTGCATAAGACTTAGGCCTTGTTGTCTAGTTTGCTGATTTTTGCTAAAGTCAGTAGTTACTTAGTAGACTTGTAACCTTATTAAAGGACCGGAGGAATCGGGACAGGATAAAGTAAGAAAGATAATGACGATTTGTCAAGGTTGCTGGACCAGGAGGAACGAGAACAGCGCATGGAAGATAAAGGAAGAGAAGTAACAGACCGAGAGCTGGCAGGATGGGCCGGCCTTGAAAGTTGAAAAATTAAAAGTGAGGAAGACGTTTTGCCCTCATCCAAAAGACCCCCGGATGCGACCACCAGAACAGATTGCGCATGTGTAAAAAGCAGGGACAAGAAGTTAATGGTTTCTTAGAACGCCCCACCTATTCCTAGGAATAATTTGTATGAGCCATGAATAATAATACAGAAGATGTATTTAGACGGTAGGAGATAGTACAGAGGCATGCACGCTAGGTGGAGCGATCCCCCGTGCACCCGGCGCCGTGAATAAAGCACGCCTGCCTTTTAACACCACACCGCTGTTACGAGGATTATTCCCGATTCTGGTGACGCAGCGGGGCGGGC